CAACAAGCTGTGGCAGCTCCAAATCTCATCGATGGTCTCCTGGACCTGAAGGGATGGATTCCTATAGACAGACGAAACACGAGGCGACAGAAGACAGAATCTGAAGGAACGTAGTAGTTCGTTTCCCTGCGTTGAAAACCTAAGATTCTGCAAGCCAGCTCGGAAACAACGGAAAACGAAACTGGACACGTCTTTTTCTTGCAAGGACGGCGTCAGTTGAAGCGTCCATCAGCGCTTTCCCTGGCAATAGCAACGCATGCGAACTGGCAGTGGGTGGTTAGAACTAAATGCATGGACAAGCTACTAACGTGCATGTTGTGGTAAAGTAGACAATGAGATCGAAATCCTGTCAGTTGAAGCACGCGCAATTGCAGCTCTATAGGCCTCTTCTGCGTGATTTTCACAAGCACATCGTTGTTTAGAAGCGGTGGCCACCTGAACACGCGGTGGTGATGATTAACCCTAAGATCATAAATTAAATGCATGAGCAAACGAGTGTCTTCATGACGATGCTTGAGATGATCCAAATGATGTCTAGTAGCAGTCAACTTGTACAGGCCTGTTTGTCGAAGTGATTGCATATATAGACATATATATATATACATATATATATATAAATATATGTGTGTGTATACATATGTATGTATGAATGATGTATTTCTGCCGTTGTGCATAAAAAGTCAATCTTCCATGCAGCCATGAGGCTGGCCATACACATCAGTGGCCAGGTGAAACAAATCCAGCGGCGCAATGCCCCCCAGCGAAGGAGCAAGCGAGAGGACAAGCAACGCCCGCCTTCACCGGGGTAGTCCTTTCGAACCACATGGTGGTGTGGTAAATTAGTAAACCTGGGCAACGTACGTTGACATCATCTCCGACAGGCTGGCTCTGTCTCGGGCTCGGAGCCCTGACTCGACCAAACTGCAACAAGGTAAAAGTGGGTCCTCGCGCCAGAGCCCTTGGCCTCTTGACGCTCGCCATCTTCGTCCAGCCGATATTTGTGTGTGCACCACGCTACCTCAAGCTGGACATCGCCAGCGATCTGGTGGTTTGCTGCTGTCCGTACTGCAAGGTTCTTTGAAAGCTCGCTCAAAAGCACAAGCCCCAGGACGTCAGCCTGGATTCTGCTTTCCAATTGCCAATTCTCAAGGACGAAGTAAAGGTACAATTGCTTGGGATCTGGCGCCGTCACTGGGCCCAAATGGATCGGTGGGACCTGGCTGAGATAGGTTGCTGGTGATGGCGCAACAAAGTTGCTGTGGACCACCGAGCCCCTGTCTTCGTCTTCTTCCTCGCTGTCCTCGGGCTCAGGCTCACCTCGTTCCACCTCCGCGCCTTGCCCTACGAGCCCCTCCACCTCCAGAGAGGGGGCAAAGGCTTGCCATTCGGTCTACACCGCACCCTCCACCAGGTCTGTGAAGTCGACCCACGTGTCTCCTGACACAGGTCCCCCCACGGTTCTCCCTTTCTATGTATAGAGTTGGTGGCCACATGGCCACGGCCCAAAGCCAAGCCGTGGTTGCCGCCTCGGGCAAACCCTTCCTACACCGTAGCAAAAAAATCTATGTATCTATGTACCTATCTGTCTGTGTATGTATGTACATAGATATGCAACTAAATGCCTGGCTTGCACCATTGTTTCCTGACGCTGTGTCAAAGCACAAAGCATTCCTGTGATGTTCGGCTGTTTTCGTCCTGATCATCATGCTCTGCTTTGTTTTTGCTGTATGCCCTGCTAGCTGCTAACTCTGCATGTCAAAAGTAGGGTGGGAAGGTCAATCATAATGGTACAATATGGTACACTTTATTCTGCGACGCTCATTCATTCTGCGACGGCTTGCGTTGCCCTTTGCATTGGTAGCTCTACACGTCACAGGGAGGGTGGGAAGATCAGTGATGGTGTTGCATTTCCTTTTGCAACGCTGGCGGAACATGTACAGGGTCTGAGATGTTCTGCCGAGCATGTTGAACAGAGCCCGTGGTTCGAGGTGGAAAGAATTCCAGTGGCGCTGGCTCAGAGGGAAGCAGAGAATCACTTGCTTGGCTGTTCGTCCTGGGAAACATGAGAAGAAGTCTTTGTGCCTGCAATGTTCGGGACATGGGTGGGGCATCTTGCGCCTTCTGACTTTCAGAATGACTGCAGTTAGAGATATTGGCATATCCATCAATGCATGTTTTCCCACTGGGCATCTTGCTGAGCCTCGTAGCAGCCCTTCACAAGCCAAACAATGAATACTGTTTCTTTGGCCGGTTATGATCCCAATATAGCTCAACATGACATCAACATAGCTTCGACACGACCCTCACCACAAACCACGCCACTTACCTTGACCATGAACTCAGTAGAATCAACATGACCTCAGTAGAACTTCAGTAGAATCAGCATGAATATGCACACACCCGGCCTGGCGAAACTCCAGCCGCCCAAATTTAACACGTCAGGGCACTTGCACTAAGTTCCCCGTACATCACACTAAAGCAGACTCCCTGTGGGTCCTAAAAAAACACCCTTCCAGGACCAACAGAACCACCTGCAAAGAGACTGCACTAGCCCCAATGGACCCCAACATCACCCCTTCATACACTCGACATGACCTCAAATGGGCCTAGTGTAGTCGCACTTACACCTAACCTGAAGCCCAACATCCCTGAGTCACCAGCAACGACCAGCAAGAATCACCAGCAAGAACCAGCAAGAGCCAGCAAGAAGATGCAGAGCTGATGCAAACCTCGTCAACTTGTGGTCCCAAGTTCAAGACCTCAAAAAATCTGAAAATCGCGTCTGTTTGCTGTAATTTACAGTTAAAAATGCTTCCCTGTAGGTCCCGAAGCCTAACCTCTCTAGGGACCCACAGAACCACCCGCCAACATTCTACAAATCAAAAACGACATTTCGCACGCCCATGGCCCCCTCCCTTTAGCGCTTCGCAACACCAACTCCCTGCGCTGTTCCAGTCATTCTCCGGTGGATCCACCCTGTGAGAGATTCTTGGTCTCATCTTCTTCATGTCCCTTCTGTTCATCAGGACATTGGCGATGTTCTCCAAATCTGGGATCACCAATCTCTGATAGAAACACAATGTTGAAAAGCTTGGAATATGGGGATGTTTGGAATACTGTGGAACACTCCTTCGTCCCCACAAAAGTTTCTGAATGTACTTGTGGACGGCTTTTTAGCCGTCAGGTCTTCGAGCCGTGGACGCTCAGGGCCATTCCGTAGTGTAAGGTGTGGATCCAATTGATATCCCTAGCGCTCCAACCATATCGAAGATGCCCGGAACCCACCCCCAACCACAGGTATACACCAAAGTCCCTGCTAGGTGATCTACAAGATGTCAATTAATAGCCTCCTTATAGGTTAAGGGGTGCCATTTACCAACACTTGTGGGTCCTGCTATGTGTGAATTTCATAGGAGGACATTCCATTGGCCAAATTGGTCACTGACTTCCCAAGGTACGATGGGTTCTCTGTCATTGCCACACGTACCAAGACACCCATGGTTTTGGAGGGCAAGGAGCGGTTGACAGGTACCAGGCAAAGGGTACCCTTGTTGTGGATCTGTTGAAAAAGAATGGTCAAAACAGATCCATGTTGTGCCAACCATGCCAAACCATATGTCTTTGGGAGGGAGATAGGACCCTGCCATTTTCGCCAAAAGCTCCCAATTGCCATGCCTCGCTGGCATTAAGCACATCCCGGACGACCACAAAGCCTTGCTCTCCTGGGCTGCTCAGCATTTCTCGGGAACATCCAAACAGATCAAAAAGACATTCTGCATGTGGCAAACCCTTTTTTACTCTGAAATAGGAACTCAAAAGGTTGAGCTAGTCCACCTCTCAGGCCGAGGGTTTGGTCATTCTGAAAGCTTGGTGACACCAGTGGTTCCGAGTTTCAATGGCACCAGTGATGACGCCTGACTCCATGACTCCATGGGGACCCAATATCGGCCAGAATACAAAGTTGTTGATGTTTAGGCTTTAGGGGGAAGTGTGAGTCGACTCTGATGTTCGCTTTGGGTCTGCAATCCTGTCTCAAAGAAACTACAGAAACTGCTGCTGCTGCGACTCCCACTCCCACTATCACTACTCACTACTCACTACTCACTACTCCCTGCTCCCTGCTCCCTACTTCCTACTCCCTACTACTACTACTACTACTCCTACTGCTACTACTAGTACTAGTACATACGTACCCGTACAATACTACGAGTAGCACTACAACCACATCAAAATACGCCACATCCCATCCACCGGTCTCCCGAATGACCGCCGCTCCACGATTCCGGTCTCGACGTGGCCGCCCAGGGGCGGAAATGCTTCGTGTAGGCCGCTTCCTCCTCCACCGCGAAGGTCGTGACATCCACGAAGCGCGGGGAGACCGGCGCCATGGGGAGCGAAAAAGTGGTGGGAGGGAATGGATTCGGGAGAGGTGGGAGAGGTGGGTGGTCTGCATGTGATGGTCCCCATGGTCACCATGCTTTCAAGGAGAATAAGGGGCAGTTGAAATGGCTGTAGAAGAAAGATGGTAGTGTCCAGAGACGTAGGCTTCGTCCCTCGCATGTTGTCATCCTGTTCTTGGCTTTGCCTACTTCCAACTTCAATCCATCGCGGTGCCGTCGAAGCGCACATGATTGGAGCGCAAATGGTTGACAGAACAACCCTGCTGTTGACGCAGGATCACTTGTCCCCTTGAATTCTTGAATTGTTAAAAGCCAATGGCTCCAGCTCATGTATGTCCCAACAAGTGCCCCGCAAATGAGGCTTTGGACCATTGGCCTTGGAAGGGTCCAACCTGTGATAGCAACTTTTCTGATGGCTCGGCAGACTCTCATGAACTTGAACTGCTAGACACTGCTGGATGTAAAAACACACATAATAATTAAATTAGATGGTTTAGATGAATTACCGGATACCGAGAGGTCCCTGGTTTTCGAGGTTCACTTCTCGCCCTCTTCACTGATTGGTATCATTTGGTATATCATCTCTTTTCTCTTTTCTCTTCACGTGCTGGGCGATGTTCTCGCAGCTTCGGCCTCACGGGCTCCGAACGGAAGAAGTGTCCAACTTGAACAAGGCGAACAGCTTCGTGGTGTAGCGACCAAATCACCCGGAAAGCCGCCGGCCCGAAGCCTAAAGAAGTTCACAGCTCGTGGTTTGGTCTCAGTCTTTACCGTGTCATCTGAGGCTTTAGGTGATGTAAAGGTCAACTGGTCAAACCTCCTTAAGCTTCTTACGAATGGCGAACGAAGCAAAGGGGTGTGCCTGCGGTGCCCAGGGTGAGCAAACAAAGCGATTCAAAACGCCTTTTTGCAAGGAATGGGTTCAGTTTCCTCCTTTGCCCTGGTCTAACTCACCTGGTTGGTACAAAAGAAGTGGTTTGCTTTCAGTAATCATCGATAGCCGATAGCTCTCACACATGGCCTTTCAATCTTTGTTCACTTGCACATCCTCACATTCTTCAAAACGCACGTGCAACCGCCGATCGTCCCATGGTCTCACCCCGATACCTTTGCGTCGTTGGAGCTCGTTGTCGACACGGATTCCGTTGTCGGTCGGACCGTGTCGGTGTCGGTGCCTGGAGGTCGCAAAGGAGTTGGAAGCGGCACGAGGATCCCAGGTTCGAGACCGCAGGATACCTGGGCGGTCGGTATAAGCTAGGTGTCCAAGCGCAAGCAAAGCACGCGAGTCAGGGCGGGTTTGCGGGTAAACCGCCGCGGGTAAACCGCCCTGCGGGTGTTCCATGGTTGGGATCCGGCAGGGGGACACCAAGGATCGGTGTTCAGATTGACTTCTGGAAATCAGGATGAAGAAGATAAAGATTGAAGAGTAAACTCACTTGAGAGAGGAGGGGGTGAACGAAAGGTAGCAGGCAATCACAAGTAACCCTGGTAGAAGTCCATGACGGCGTGAACCGGCGCAGGGGTGATTTGATCCAGGGGGGCCCCCCCCCGACGAACAAAATCATTTCTTACAGGACCAAACTCAATGCACAATGCCAACTCCTGATTGTAATATATTTTTGCTAAAGCAAGGAGAACTCAGGTAGCTCAAGCTACCTTTCGTGACTAAGGGCTTAACTAGCCTAGGGGTCCCCTTTAAGCAACACAGCCTGCAATCGGTCGACCTCAGATTCCCGCTGTAGCCTGTAGCATCCAGGGTACTCTCGTGGGTCAAGATCGAAGGATTCACCGGATGCACCCGAACCAACTGCTACATCTTTGGGGTCCAAAACGCTAGTTCTGAGAGTCAAAGCCCTATAGCGAGCTGAGGGTCCTCTTGCTGAGCCCATTGTGGGCGCGAATTCAAGCAAGCTCCGCCGGCCACGGAACACAACTGAGGCGAAGGAAGGCACTCAAGTCCCTCAAGTCCCAGCTGCACTGTCTCGGGCAGGTCAGTGAAGACATGCCTGGCTGAATCGAAAAACTAAGAGGAGAAACATGGAGAAAGAAAAAGGGGAGACAGCTTCTCCTTTCGAAACTAAAGGCTAAAGGTGTTTCAAGTGAATGGAGGGACAATTTCGGGTGGCCCTAATCCAACTCAAAATCGGGGGGGGGGGCGAACACGGGGTATTCTGGCATGAAATCCTGCCAATCCTGTGGAACATTTCAGGCCCTTGGTCTGATGTGGTCTTGTGGTGTCTATCTGCCTTGGTTGGTGGCCGACTTGGATGAAACAAGGGCACATTGGGGTAGAATCCCTAGGTTCTGATCGTCCTCCACAGGCAGGCTGAGGTCCGATTCCTTATTGATGTCGTTAGGTCATGTTAGGTCCCTGTAGCCTTTGGAGAGGCACACAAGTCACAGAGATCAAGGCAACCAAAAAACACATTGAGATTCAAATGGTTCACCTCAAGAGCCCCGAATATGCCACAAACGCGAAATCCAAATGAAACCCAACTTGCCCTCACCCTAAGCCGAACCGGTTCTAGATCCGCTGGGACTTCCAGTGGGGCTCGGTCGTATGGTTTCACGATCAGCCAAGAGACTCAAAGGTGCGTTCATCCACTACTAGAGTCGCAGAGCGCAAGCCACGGGCAGGGAGATCCAGCTCAAAGATCACCAAATCTCCCTGATCAAAGCTGATCCCGACATCTACAGGGAGCTCCGGGCCATTCCCCCCTTTGACCAGAGACGTGTACACTCTGACGAACACATCACATGGAAGTGGATGGTGCCCATGGCCCCTGTGAAGACTATGTTGCGAATACCAAACAGGTGGTTGAACCCATTTCCATGTTAGTGAGTCGGAGTGTAGGCAATGGAAGAGAGCGAGACATCGTTGAGGCCTTGGAACACTCAACGTGGACGACCTAGCCCTTAACCTGCTAGCCGCTCCTAGCCCTTAACCTTGTCCAGGTACATCTGATCACTACTCCTGGGCTACCTGAAGGTCGAACCCCACTTCCATGACCGCCTTTGATATGAACCCTTGAGAGTGTGACCCAGGGTTAGGTGCCTGTTTTAACATGTGGAAGTGATAGTGTGGTACACTTTGCTTTCCGATATCCTTTTTAAAAAAGCATGTCAACTTTCTTGATGAACTGAGACAACATCACTGTTCTCCAAATACACTCAAAAACGCACAATATGTCGAAGATGACCCCTTGATAGACTGCTTTCCTACTTTTCCATTTCCATGTTTGTTCTTGGGAAGTGTACCTTCAGCACCATTTATTTAGTCCGAGTGTTGCCACCCCTTGGGTGTTTAAAGGTCAGCAAGCCATCATCAGCCTTTAGGTATCTGACAAGTTTCTGAAAACGGGAGACCATCCAAAAGGCTGCATGTCTGACCCACCGATCTCGCCGCAAAGACTCTCCCGCCTCCCCAAAGCTCACTGGAAGCATCTCCAATTCCCTGCCCAGGGATCGGAGGATCGGATGCTTCCATCTGCGTGTGCTCGGTGGTTCCCATTTTCACTGAGTGGATGTGTCATGAATGTGGAATTGCACATTGCACGTCATCGTCCGGCCTTGGCGAGAGTGGGATCCTTGAAATCGGTTCCAGCTGACGACATATACAGTATTATACAGTATATGGCAAAAGAATGCAAAGAACTTTAAAGAACCCAATGAATGTTCTCCTCATCCCATAGGGTCCCTATGGGTGTCCGGTTTTCTCGCCTGCCAGCTGCCCAAGTGCTACCATCCGATGCCACCGCCCACGTGCCACTTGGTGCCAACTTGGTGCCCAAGGCTTGGGAGGTGCCAGTCCTGGTGAGTGGACGATCCATCCGTTCATCCACCGCTGGAGACGTCCATCCGACTCGGATGGTTTCATCCGCCGATCCGCTGGAGGAAGAGATATAGAGGAAATCAGAGGACACCTAATAGAGGAAACCCATAGGGGAAACCCAGGGGTAGAGGAAACCATGGAGAAAAATTCATGGATCTTCGAATGCGATGAAGACGATTTTTCAGCCTTTGCGCGGCATATCGCTGGTGGGGAAGATTCACGCAGGGCGCAGCTTCGTTGATCCCATTAACGATCCTAAGCGTCGCAACGTCGCCCACGCCGGGATCATTGGGATGTGACGATTGCGGTTCACGACGTTTCACAACCTGTATACAAGTTCGGTCAATTTTTTACAGTTGCTGGGAGGGACAGTTGCGGTCGCGGAAGGTGATTGATATTCCTACATAATGATTCGGATGAGGCAGGTGGAAGGTGGAGGGACATCCAAAAAAAACATGAAAACATCGTAGACTTCGGAGATACGACCTCTGGTAGGTGATGGAAAACCAAACTGTCCAGTGGAGCAACACATCGTATCCAAGCAGTTGCGAAACTACTGATCATATGGAAACGAAGCAGTTCTGTGCCAGGAAAACGATCTTCAACCGCGCTATTTCCACAATGTTTGTCATGATTTGTCATGCAACAAATTGAGAGGAACCAGGCCACCTTTGTGGCTCTGTGTTCTAAGATCTGGGCCCTTCAATGCCAAAGCCGACATCCAAACATCCGATGACCTTCCGGTCCCACCGGGGTCTTTTGAGTGGGTTACCGCTGGGTTCCGAGGCATCCAGTGTTCAGTAATCCAATCTCTATGTTGATGTTGAAATGCATGTTGATGTTGATGTTGATCTATGTTGATGTTTATGTTGATGTTGAAGTACCCTATTTTTTCAAAAAACTGAAGTCATGTCTTGAATTTCCGTGAGCGAACTCCGATCACATCTGATCAGCCTCCACCGCCGTTTCGGTCCAGGCCGAGGCCACCAAACCAACGAAGCAGCGCCGCTCGTGGTGTTCGCCGCCGCTCGTGGGGTCGCCCAACGGGAGAAGCTTCCTGGGAGCCGAAACAGTTGTCGGTTTGACGCTGGACCGAGGCGGCACCAGGTGGTGTTTAGGTACAATATAGGCGATTAGGCACTGGTGTCAAATCAGCTCTCATGGTGGCTCTTTTTGTGTTCAGCGCAAGACTTGATGTCACATTCCCACGGTTAAACATTGCTTTTGCCGATGCTCGGAGACGAGTACACTCCCAGAACTAATCCGTGGAAGTGGAGTGTTCCCCACCTGTTTATCGAGGAAAATTGTCCCTCATGTTTTCAGGAAGTATCCGTTTCAGAAAATTTGGTTCTTGTTGCGGGATGTTGCGGGCATCTGTATGTAGTATGGACACGAAAAGCCACATGCCGACGATCAATAACTGCTTGTGTTCGGCAGGGTCAACCTAGGCAACCAAATGATGTCTGCACCCATTCCGATTTATTACCCCCAAAAAAACAGAAATCCAATCACCTCACAATCTGTCCATTCAGAATTCAGGTCCCAGATGTTCTTCACCAGACTCTACCTTCCCAATCCTCACATCTTCCAACATCCTACCAACCAAGTAGCACTCCGAAGCGATGTGTCCCGCTCTGGTAACCGCGCGTGGCGCGCGCGGCACAGGACTTGCGCAGCGCTCGCGTGTCGGGCATGCAGCAGATCGTCGCCTGGACCAAACCGCCGAAACTGGAGAGATTCGAAGCGTCCGAGCGTCGTCGCTGATCACCAAGACTCGTTGTGTATTAGCCGTACAGGTGCCTTGTTTAGGAGCTAGGAGAAAGCGTCTTGTTGCGATTCAAAACAGCTTCTGCAAAAAAAGAATGCCAAGAAGAGATGAAAAGCAAACAGACCTGAACCCAAAGACCTGAACCCAAGGCGTCTTGAGACGCCACACGGCCTCTTCGTGCTGCACTGCGGGGTCGGAGCCTTTACGTGACCTGCAGCGACCGAGCGGAGGGGCGTGGGAGGGGTGGTGGTTGGAGACCCCAGGGTGGTGGAGTGGATATGAGTGGATAACTGAGTGGATAGTGGAGACGTTCGGGGCAGAATTCGGCCGGCTTGGAACTTTTTGGGAGGGGATCGCATCGGGGAATCAAGAACGTTTGCTAATCCAAAAATAACACCAAAAAACCCTGTCGTTCTTCCGATGATCGGCCATAGCCCGCCATTCTCCACCCACAAAAAGGAGAAGGGTGTGTAGGAACCCACCACTTGTCATTCAACCTTGGTGCGGGGATGTGGGTTGGCTGGTTTTTGGAAGGCAGTGTACCAACATGGTAGACATACAATGATCTGCGGGTGGTTCAACCTGAAGCCCGACCAGTCCACCATGTAGGTTGCCCTCCGTCGGTAGGTCCCAAGCTCTCTTGGTTTTGACCCGCAAACATATAGAAAACACATTGCACCCTTCATCCAGCCACCGTGGAAGAAGTCACCTAAGGGGCAGCGCCATCCATTTCCATGTTGCTTGGACAGGTGCACAAACATAGAATTAGCAAAGGGACAAGCCAATCAACAACAGTATATACAAAGAAATACAGTGTAATTATTGAGTTCGTTGATCATGAACTATCCTCCATGCACCATACAATCGACGGTTTCCCAGTTCCTGCAGCTTCAGGCGCCATCCCACCACCTTCGGAGGCTCTGCTGGCGGCTCCACCGGCTCGACGCCAGCGCCGAGTGCGGGAGCGACGTGCGCCGGAACTTCGGAGGCCTGGCCGGTGTCCAAATCGCCTCCTCACCGCAGACATGTTGGAATTCTTTTCGGCTGACTGGTGCTTAGTAGTGGGGAATAAGGGAATGAGCCCCCAATAGAGAGTCCATTGGATCCATTCCCTCATTCCCTGCTAAGCACCAGTCAGGTTTAGGTGTGTGGTCTTGAAAAAACACACCTTTTTGCGGCCCACATCCAAACTCTGGGGGTGCCTTTGAACACGATTAAAATCTACACCGCAACCTCCAGAGAGCTGATATCTATCGAATCCAGGTTGTCAGTTGCTACTCGGTGACCACGAACACACCACTAAACCAAATGCAAATAGTGCTAATGAAAAAACTATGCATTCCTAGCATTCCAAGTGATGTCTCTTCAATTCGCTTAAGCATGCTGAAGCCACGTTGTGGTGCTGTAAGGAGCATCTCCAGTTCTTCTGATTGTTAAGATTAAGCTTTCGCACAACTTGCATCGCACGCCCAACTAGCACGAACTCCAAAGACCGCCTGTGTCTCAGCTCCGCGCCAAGGGGCCAGGAAGGCGCCTGGACACAACACAACACATGTTGAGGATGGGCCTGGAAGAGGTGATCTGCTTCGTAAGCACAGAGAGCAAATGCAATTGGTTCAGGTGTCTTATTCGTTTTGTTTTTTTCCCAATCGAATCTAAAAATGACACCGTCTCAGAAGAAAAACACACATGTGTCTCTCTCCAGCTTGCTAACAAAGATGAGGTCCGTGAGGACCGTGGTCCGGTTGTGCCAAGCCACACTGCTGAATGTCTACACTTGATGAACAGGAACGCAAGCCTTTCAACTTCATACACACACGCGTCACACCAGGACTCTTCAAAGTTGGCACACCTTGGACAACTTCTGAAATCACCACGACCTAGGGGCCCAAGAGTCTGGTTCTGCATGCAGATTCTTCCGTTTAACGTCTGTGACCACATTCACTTCTTTGCACACCTGCAGCTTTCAGAAAGCTTCGCTCGGGACTGGCCGCGCCAGTAGCGGCTCTAGGCGGAGGCTCCTTGAATCGGATGGGGTCGGGGGGACGACTCACTCAAGGAGGCTCACTAAGAGGCTTCTGTTGGACAGCTCTGGTCTAATCAATAGCAGTATAGCTGGTGTGCTCAAGAGAGATTTGCTTATTTTCAAGCTCCACGGAAAACTATAGGACCGGACCGGACAACCCCACATGTTAACACCTTCACCAGACACAGGAGCGGACAATTGGTGGTCGGTAGGTGGCAACTGGTTGGTGGCAATTCGTTGGTGGCAGTTTGTTGGTGGCAGTTGGTTGGTGGCAGTTTGTGGGTGGAAGTCTGTTGGTGGCACTTGGTTGGTGGCAATTGGCAAGTCACAGCGGCACAGCGGCGGCGACCCACAAGCACCAGCATCCGACCCCGTGGAGAACATCAAAGTACTGTGCCTGCCACGCAAATCACAGCAGCACGAGACCCAGCAACACCAGGGCAGCACCGGGCAGCACCGGGGCGTACATCCGACCCCCTGGAAAGTGACAATTGGTTGATGACAGTCGGTTGATGACAGTTGGTTGGTGACAATTAGTTGGTGGCAATTGGTTGGTAGCAATTGGTTGGTGACAATTGGTTGGTAGCAATTGGTGGGTGGCAATTGGTTGACAACAATTGGTTGATGACAATTGGTTGATGACAATTGGTTGGTAGCAATTGGTCGGTGGCAATTGGTTGGTGACAATTGGTTGGTGACAATTGGTTGGTAGAAATTGGTGGGTGACAATTGGTTGGTGGCAATTCGTTGGTGACAATTGGTTGGTAGCAATTGGTCGATGACAATCGGTTGATAGCAATCGGATGGTGACAATTGGTAGGTGGCAATTGGTGGGTGGCAATTGGTTGGTAGCAATTGGTTGATGACAATCGGTTGATGACAATTGGTTGGGAGGAGGCGGGAGGAGGAGGAGGGAGGAGGAGCGGATACCACACTAAAAACAAAATCCCCACACGTCAATGTGGGGAAAAATGACTGATGAGGTGGTTCCCAAGACCATGGACAAACCCTTCATTTTGACTCGGGGGTTCCTGAAAGAATCAAGATCTCAACATTTTGCAGTGACACATAATACTGTCAAGAGAAGAGCACTGCTCAAGATCCGGTCTAAACAAATTCTCACACCGACCGTGAGCTACGTCATGGTTGATGGGCCCAAAAGGTGAATTCGTCCCGCTCTGTCGTACTATAGAGTCCGATGGATTCTTGGGTTTCATGAAAGTCCCAAGGCCTAAAACAGTCCTGATTGACCAGGACCTCACCTTCCGCAGACATCAGGTCCAGGTCATCATCTCATCATCCATTATCAGGTCATCATCTTTACTAAACTTTACTAAAGAATGTGGTCTCCAATACCTCCAATCTCAAACCTTGTTGACCTTGTTGACCTTGAAGACGGGGTTGATGAATCCTACGTCGACATTACCATACATTACCTCACTCACATCTATATTCATTTATATATAGTTTGGGTTCATTTCGCGCACCAACAACTCCAAACGAGTGAGGATGAGTGAGGCACGGTGGGGGAGAGCCAACAAAAAGCCCATCCGAGAGGGAAGTCGTCCTCCACCCCATGTCCGCCTCCGATATCCGATGAAGGCACATCGTAACACACACCGTCATGACTCCCAAAAGCATGGATCTCAGATGATGTCATTCAATGAGCACATCGCAAACAACAAAAACTCCCTCAGCATCTTAAAAGAGATCGTGAAAAACGTGTTCACCTCGTCGTCACCTCGTCCAACCTCGTCTTCACCGGTCTCCTCTTTGGAGAGCTCTGAAGCCCATCCATCTCGTCCAAAGCCCTCCACCTCGACCCGTCGTGACGGCTCACTGGCTGCGGTTAGTCACATTGTTCCACCCCACTACGAGCTGATCTCATTTTCACAAATCCGGCCCGTGTTCATCCACCAGGATGTTGAAAGGCATAGGTCCCATCCAGCATTTCTGTCGCTGTGTCGTGGAAGACTTCCAGGTGGATGAGTTGAGCTTCTCTGCTCGCATGAGATCTTTGTATTGCGTTCCTCCATTATCATTATCATCACCAAACGCAGTCGCCAAGAAGCATCCAGGTACGACCGCAGCCCCAAAAAGTCCACCGCCACCTGGTTCGATGCTTGGTCGTTTCGCTTGTGGCACAGAGTGCTCTTGTTGAAGGGACATCATCTACAGCTGAAGCCACTCCCCATCTCACTAACAATTGAAGTGGATGGAATGGTTGTTCGGGAACCGGGGGTTTGGAGCGTTTGGACTGAATAAAGGACCATCTGGCGACGAGTCTTAGAGGGTCACGATGAGACCGGGTGAGAACTCCGCCCGGTCAACCAATCGTACCAGGAGAACTCTGCCCATCGGCGGATTCTTCGCATGGTCCGACCAAAACTCTACATAAACGCTTTACCAAAGTCTTCTGTTCTTTTTTTAGTGCGACGTTAGGCCTGTCCCGCAGTGTGCGCTTTGACGGGAAAGCAATACCTTTACCAAAGGGTCTGACTGGACAAAAAAAAACATGATCTGACTGGAACGGGCTATGATCTGCAAGAAAAAGCACTGCATCCAACTGCGTTCGAAAGACAGTCGAAAAGGGTCTCGGCATCCTGGGAACCGGCAGCGCGGCGCCACGCCTGAAAGTCTTGCAGCTGCTCTGGGGGCACTTTGGGCATCGCCGGGGAGCCTGGGAGGACGAATAAAATGGAGAGCAAGTGATACAAACATATATATATATAGTATATATACATACATACAGTATCTTTGTCGTGTTTAGGTCAGCGGCCTTGCACAAGACTGGCCACGTCTCATCGTGGAGATCAGTTGCGCTTGGTGATATACATACATACAGTATATATATATATATATTAAGTACTATATATACTATTCAATGTATACTTTGGACATATATCCCATTCCCTGGACCCAGTGGATGATGGCTCAGTTGCAGGCCGACATCTCCAAAATCGTCCTAATCGACCGACTGTGACAGGTGATGGGATACCCCCAAGATGTAGACATGTTCTTTAATAGGGAGATCCTCTGGCCTTGACTGGTGGAGATCCTCTGGCCTTGACTGGTTAGACTATGTTAGACTGGTCTATGTTTTCGTCTGCCACAACCCGGTGGCGACGATCCACTATCCTGCATTAGTGGGCTTCCATTTGGGACACCCCTTGGATGGTCTTGTTGTGTTGAGTGAATATCTTACTATAGACTATATCTTTATGTTGGTGCACCGCGGACCCCAAGTCAACACATGTTCAGAACAACATCTATATCACAAATCCAACTCCCCTTGGCCCGAAAGCGGCTTTTCCTGACATCAGAAGGCCATGCGTAGCGCGGCCGCTGTGTGAACAGAAGGCCATGTCTCCGTCGGTAGCCAACAGCCTCGACTGTTCCAACCGCCAAGAGTCCGATCTTGCAATCACGAAGCCAACCCAAGAGCAGGTCAAAGATGTCAGGGTCCATGTCCAAAAAAATGTGACCTCGGGACACATTGATTCTGATGGATCTCCCAGCTGAAGCAGGGTCTTGTGGCTTAAAAATCATGCAATCCGTTGTGCGGCTCCAGAAAATTGCCATCCAACTTGGGGCGAAAGAAAGCATATATAAAAATCCGGCTGAAACGTGCAGGGTCCAGGAATCGATTTTGGATTGCTTTGCTGGCTTGGCGCTTTCTGCTTCCAGTCTACGCTGCTGCTGGCAGGGGCTCAAAATGAGAGTGAGTCTGATTATCTATCGATCTACGAAACTCCCATCGGTATAAAGCCCAGTCAGTGCCTCGAACAGAATTGCTATTGACATGAAGATCATATCTGGGAGCGCTGTTTAAACAAAAAAAACAGCTCGCCAAATTGCCCGGGGAACAAATAGAGGACACACACCTCCTTGTTTGCAGGTTTTGCAGGGTGAAAAAGGCCAGGCGGCCCCCACCAATTCCCCTGCCTCTAGCTGCAACCACCTTCGTGGCTTGAAGCTTACCCCAAATCCTTACTTAGTCCCGAATACAGGTTCATTGCAAGCAAAAACGATCTGGTTGGACCAAAATCTAACATCGCGGTACCAAACGGGTACCAAAGTGACTTGGATGTCATCTCATCACATGGACATCTCCCTGCAGCACTGGATATCTCCAAGTGGCCCGCTTTGTCCCGTGGCAAGGCTGAGTCCCACCTCAGCTGGTTCCGGACCGACCCGCGTGATGGGCACTTGAGAGATGCAGCATGAAGCTAGGCCCTGAATGTGTTGTCCTCTCAGGCTCGTCCCATGCGTCTCGTGTTCCGTCGTGCCTGGATGCTCATCAATCGGCTCTTCCACTGTAGCAACTGCCATGTGCCGTCGCCGGTTCACCTATTGAGACCTCCCCAATCGCGAACCCAATCCGTCCCATCCATTTTGGACGGTGAAATAGGGTGAATGAAGGAATGAATGAATGTATGTATGTATGTATGTATGTATGTATGAATGTATGTATGTATGAATGTGTGTGGCATATCTCGAGTGTCCTGGAGTCCTTTCCACTGAAATTTATTTCTGCTAAAGCCGCTTTTGTCGCCAAAACAGATTCGGACCACCAACCTCTACCAGATCTTGGCTCCCCACGCACGTCAGACAGTTCTCCAAGCACGTCGGACTGACTACCCAGGCACCGTCCAGAGAAGAGCTCAGCTAGGAAGGAGCCGCGGCACAGGCACAGAGTCTCTCGTTTCACGGTGTAGATCTTTCCTCCGACCTGGGCGCATCTGGGTGCAGGGAGCTCACAGCTGATGGAGATCTGCAAGCTGCTTGAGATTTGGTGAGCAATCTGAAGACCTTGACCATCAGCTTAGACTAGTACGAGCAAACTCAATCGATCTTGCGCAATCTTATTGGAACCAGCAAACAACTGCAGTCCTTTCGTCCATCCCACTTTGTAAAGTTATTCATAACTCTGGTTGACAGGGGATTAACTTCAAGATCTCAAAGTAAAATATCGTAAATTTATATAAGTACACTAGTTAATCCCCTGGAACAAATCTTCATTTTGCACGCAAGCTCGAACTCGCCATCTTTCTTCCCGCCACGACACATCCAGGGTCACCACGTCTTGTGTCCGAGCGTTCCCCGTGAGCTGCCGCCGCAGGGCCCTCTCCTCCAAGACGGAGCGAAGCTCCTCCGCTTCGTGGACGCTGGTTGTCTGTCGCAAAAAACGTATCAAGAGAACATCCTCAATAATGACCTTGGTGTCCCCATATATTCATATATCACTACTATATAAAGGAACCCAGGGTCTCTTGAGAAGACACATTAAACATGCCCTGGTACCCCCTGGTTCCTTTGACCATAGATGCTTGTCTGAGGAAACATAGAAGGCATTTTCAAGACTCCAGGACCAAAGCCAGTTGTGGGACCAAGATGATTGGGTAGACCAAACATAAGAAGGGATAATTTGACCATGTTGGGAATCTTATGAAGCCTGAACAATCATTGTGCCTTAGAATCCAAGAAAAACTGCAAGAGACTTGCAGTGTTAGTCGACCCGGCGGAACGGTGACCCATCACCTGTCCGGCTTGACCACCGCCGGGTGTCCCCGTCGACCCCGGACGAGCGAAAGGCTGTCGACGGTTCGGCGTTCGCGGTCGGTGGCGAACAGAAGACTCAATAGAACAAGACTCAATAGAACTCAACAGAAGACTCAATAGAACAATATTAATACTTATTGTTACTAACAAATTAGCTAAATTCAAGAGTCATGTGCCATTGGAAGTTGAAAAGTCTTGACATGGAGAGCAGTGAGGGTATACAGAAGACATGAGCGTTCAAACGGTCAGTTGTACGATCACTCGTGCGATCGTACGGTACAGTCGTACAGTCCCATGTGCGACACACGATGCAGTTGTGCAGTCCTTTGTGCGATCGCACGGTATGGTTGCGCAATCAGTTGTACAGTGCGATCATGCACAAAAAAATCAACAATCACATGCTGCTGACTCACCACTCCTTTTTGCCGACCCCAATCGGCCACGTACAAGTCTGTTCATGTTTGCCTTTGGACTGTGCGAGCAAACACCATTTCAAGTTCAGTTCAAGTTCGATTCAAGCGCATCTACTCACCTCTGTTCGGGAGTAGATGGATTCAAACCTCTGCGCGCTCATGTCGCCGTCTCAGCCGTTGAAACTGCGTGACTCGCAAGCCTTAGTTTGCTGTAACTTCTAGCGGCTAGTAGGCAGATGTCGCTTTCCACAACACACAGCATACAATGCAATGCAACGAATATCAACCTCTCGTGACTCTCGTGCAAACTCTAGAGATTGTAGAGTCGTAGGATCTTGAATCTAGAATCTAGAATGTAGAATCAAAATTAGAATCATAACTTCATAACTTATTTACTAACTGTTGAAGTTCAGCTGGTTGAGAGTCGGCCAGTCTGAGAGTGTCGAGCAACTGATTCACCATATTGGCAATTTCATCTTCTTCTTCTGATTCACTCGCAGTAGAGAACGACAGCTCAATGAGGCCAGCCAAAAATACGGCAAGGCATACTGTTCCAGTGTACCTTGGAGAGTGGTTCGGTAAACACATGCAGTGAAACCACATGAAAGAGACTGAAGCTCACAGAAGTATAAACTAGAATCGAAAGTACACAATTAATTGCACTAGATTGCGCGTTGCCAGCAATGTCTGACAGCTGGTGCTCAGAGAAGCAGTTCAATACAGTGTCGCTGTACTGCAGGCCCTGCAAAGCAAGTAGTTCACGGCCTGCCAGAATCCAATCCAATATTCAACAAATATACAATATGCAGCAGTAACAATCTATAATCTAGAATCTATAATCTACAAAAAAGCTAAAACAATATAAAATATAAAACAAATACATAATATAAATATAATTGTTCAAGTTCAAGTTCAAGTCAAGTTTGGTCCCATACCACGCTTCACAGTTCCACGCCATGCCTAGTAGTAGACGCTTGCGGTTCATGTGCATGATCTTTGACGAAGGAAGGATTGTCACAAGGACCTCCAGAAGGAGTTCACTTTCACTGTCACTGACTTCTTTGCATGCAACTTGCAACCTTTGACATAGATTCAAAATTCAAAACTTAACTGATTCATGATTCATGAGTCATGATTCCAAAATTCAAAATTGCAAATTGCAATTGTGGTTCGATAGATGTCCTATTTCTGAAACCCTTTGCGAGCACCTCTTTTCCAGATACTGCTGTCCTGCTTGCACTGTGGTATAGGTCTGCAAAGCCAATTGGTGGTTTACCACTCTGTGCCAAGGTCATTTGCTCATTGAGCGTGAAAAGGTAAACCTGCAGCGTGCAGAGGTTTTGATTTTTTATTTTTGACAAATTCAACTACCCAAGCTCTTCATCACTTCCTCTAGAGTCTAGAGTCTAGTTGAAAGTTGAAAGTTGAGTTGACAGTTGACACTGACACTGTGACACTGAAACCCAAGCAAACAGAAACACGCCTCCTGCTCCCTTGCGCTCAGAGTGCCAAACCATGGCAGACTTGCCACATGATCAGGCACCACCAAAGGCCATTGGATACCACCTGAAGCAACGCAGCTTGCCACACGCTAGTAGTGAGCAGTAGATCACAAAGAACTTTCAAAGAATGAACTACCACTGGTATATAGTCCAATCATGAGATTGAGGTAGATTCGTGACTCAATTGGCTCAATAAATATAATTCAATGGAACTCAAGACTCGATTCGAAATTCAATATTTACGATTCAAGATTAAATTAAGATTAAGATTCAAGATTCATTCAAACCAAGGTGCGCAATTCAGCAAGTTGTTGATGATTCGTTTGCCATTTGATATTCTCCTTCTCCTTGTTATCTCTCTCATTGGATTTGACCTCACTAGTTTCAGCGGCTGCATCACGCTTCCTACTTTGCTTGATTTTGGTATCCTTATCCTTCTCTGACTCCTTTGCTTCTGCCCGTTGTCTCATCAGAGTTCTACGTTGGAGTTCGCATGTGACAGCAGGGTGATCATCCGCCAGAAGAAACGCATCCTCAGGCGCAGCGGTTTGGCTACTGAAAGCCAGAAGATTTATATAGATAAATATGATATTATAGATATGAATGGTAGGTCCGTAGGTCCTTAGACTTTTGAATTGAACCTCACACAAAACTGCTGCCGCTGAAAACATAAGGCGTTGTAAGTTGTAAGTTGTAAGAGATTCTTTAGTTCAGTCAAGTCAAGTCACTATGTATATTAATTATTGATTTATTTTATTTTTAATCAAATTAAATCAAACCAAATCACCTGAGAGCAGCTCAAACAAACTAAAGTGTAGTGTACAGTTAGAGTTAGAGTGTAGCAGGACTGCAATTCAATTCCAAAGGTTAATAGTTAATAGTTATAGTAATAGTACTAGTAATAATAAACTACTAAATTAAGCAGTTGCAAGTTGCAAGTTTCTATTCTTCCAGGTGACAACTATGACACCGCATGAAAGACTTTAAGATT